CCTTTTATTTCAGGCTGATGGGTACAGTGAAAGATCGTTTCGCAGCTTTATTAGCTATGAGACAGGGATATTGTTTCTGGATTCTAATCGTACAGTTAGACGAGTGTTAAGGAACAGCTTTGGCGTACAATGAATGTGAGTGAAATCTGTTAAGGTACCGTTTACGAAAAGCACATCGTCTGGTTGCATCTCTTTTTACTGTGATAGTAATGGACACAGATCTATGCGTGCATTGTTCTGGTTGTGTGAGGTTGTCGTTTTTCGGACCAACAGCATGTCGTGATGCCTTTCGCTCCCTCATCAAGCATCTCAACGGTATCCCGCTGCATCTGTTTTGCGAAAGAATAGTCATTCATGAATTGTTTTTCCGTGTATATTTGAATCCTACTTTCTTATCTGCTGTTTCCGAAACAAACAGTCCGTTTCTTGTTGTTTTGATTCGTGCGCACAGCTGCGGAGGAGCCCGAAGTCAGTATGCTATACTTCTGCCCATCACTATTGGCCGCTTTATCCAACCGGCTGAAATGGAACAGAACTTGTTTTTCACCCGTTGGAAATTACTTTCTCAGTACGTTTTCCGGTTTTGAGTAGATACGTTTACGTATGTGATCATGATTTTAATCGAATCTCTTTATTCGTCACTAAACTTATGCTGCTGGGTGGTCATTCCTCAGACCTCTGCGTATTTGGCGTTTAAGGAATTCGCGCACTGTCGTATTTTGCATAAGAAGGAATAGCTTTGAAAGCTTCCAGCAGGGCGCCGAGGTTGAGGAGATCCACCGTTTTGCCCTGATCATATGTCAGAATTTGGCGATATTTTAAATGACATTTAGATCGCTTCCTTGGTTACCGTACAGTGTTTGCCAAGTTCGTCGGCTGATGGTTGACCTGAAAAGCGATCAGAGAGTTCTGCTTCAAAAGCTGATGTGCCTTTATCTCTGACATAGTATTGTGAGCATCCATTTCTGGTGGTTTTTCTGTGATTATTTACCAGACATAGGGATAATCTGGCTCGTAGCAGAATCTGCTCCGTGTCCACGGGTGTTGACCACTAAGAGTAGCGGTCTTCAATGGATCTTCGCCAGTGGTAACCGATGTCAATGTAGTCGATTCGAGTGAAGATCGGCTTCCATGTTTGCATGTTAACCGATCTGATAGAGTGTGCAGACATTATAGGCTGGTAAATAAAAAAAGATTTTGTTTTCAAAAATCTGATAGCTTCTGGTTGATTGACCTTTTTATTTGAACGCCGAGTGATATTCCATGGGTGGTGCAAACAGGAGCCATCTCTTAAGATTAGGGAGTAAGAAGAAGAACTGGACCGATGAGAAAGAGGAATTTTCAAATGGGTACCTAAGACTCTGGGGCTTGACTTACTTCGCGGTAGCCCGCACCGACGAAGGGGTTTTTTGGGGGACCTTGGCTGGAGCTCAAAAGTCTAACCCACAAGACAGTGGGGCGTAGATCCAACGGTAAACTGCCCCTTACCAATTTTATTTTCCGAAGTGACCTCTCCAGAGGTGAGTATATGGGGAAAAGAAGCCAGGAGGTGCACAAGAGGCTGGCTTTGTGAGACTGAGTTTTGTCTGGCCTCTACCCACTGACCTTTCAGGCATTATTAGATTTGTGGCTATGGGGAATCATCCTGTATAGCTCGCTGAGCCATGGAGTATATATTTACCACCGGCTTGAAAACAGGCATGGTGCCAACGCAACAACAATGACAGTGAAAGGGGATAGGTGGATTAAGAACAGTGAAAAGTGGGTGAAACAGTTAAACATGGGAAAATACAAGATAACCGAATTTTTTGTGTTTCACCGTACACCTTTTGCAATTTTTTTGTGTTGTTTGATGTTGCATTTTTCTTAAGGGGCACGAGATTTCGACAGACAGGTCGTACACCATTCGCGCCACTGACTTCTATTCTGCGCGATATCTCTCAGAGTCTAACCAGCGACAATCCTCATCCCTTGGGCCCCAACCTGGAAGGCGGGCTGCACCAACCGAAGCCAAAGCTGAAGCCAGCTTCTTCATGCCTCTAGCCCATGTCATGTTCTGACCGCCGCGTCGCTTCTTCCAGCCTTGCCTGGCACGTGCAAAGAGAGCACGGAAAGGAAGTCGTTGGGCAGGCATACGCAATACGTGACCCAGCCATCGGAGGCGGTGTAGAGCGATTACTTCTGTTAGAGAACGACTATCCGCACCCAACACACGACGACAGACCTCGTCATTGCTCACCCGGTGTTCTCACCAGACACGACCAATGCTTCAGAGACATCGGTGGTCAAATACAGTAAGTCGATTAGCATCCTCCGCTCGGAGAGGCCAGGTATCACAACCGTAAAGCAGAACACTACAAACTGCGGCGATTTACACCCTCCCCTTAAGGGACAATCGGATGTCATGGCGGCGTCACAGGTGTCTTAGGTTGGCGAAAGCTGCTCTAGCTTTCGCCATTCGTGATGTGATCTCGTCCCCAACACCACCACAATCTGCGATCAAGCTCCCGAGGTACTTAAAGCTCTCGACTACTTCCAGCTGATCACCACAGATGGTGAGTGCAGGCACAGGCTCTTGCCAGTTTTGAACAAGAACTTTGCATTTGGAAGGTGCAAAGCACATACCTTATCTAGATTCCTCGATCGCCAAGCGGTTCAGAGCCTCTTGGACTGCCTGTGTGTTGTCA